CTGTATGATTAGAAGCTCCACCCAGAACTCAAGAACATTTAGACATGTTAATGGAACAAACAGATCTCTCCTGCTTGTGCTCACTTTCAGCCAGTTCTTAGATTTCACAGGAGCTTTTCTCTGCCTCTGAGCTACCTAACTTACTAGGTTTTAAGTATTTCAAGTAACTTCATGCTGCGGAATGGGAGTCTTTAATTATTTCACAACTACAGCACTCTAATCTGACTGTGCAACACCATGGCATTGCCTGGCAGCTTTAGTGAATGCATAGTATTGCATACACAAACCTAAAGTACAGAAGACAAACAGTAAGCACTGAACATAGCAAGGACTATTAACACTCAGCCCAGGATGTCAGTGTTCAAGTACACCCAAGACATTTGTCCTTGGCATTCTCTCTGCAGAGAGCACTTTGTCCCAAACATTAAGTATTGAATGGACTTTGGGGCATTTTCCGTGGAGATGTGATTATTCAAGGTGGGGAAAGCCAGAATTGTACTCTTAAGCTTCTCAGGCTTTGTGCCAGAAGTACAAAATGGCAGGGTTTTTTTTCCAGTATAAAATCACATATTTTTAAAAAAAAATATTCGTTGCAAAGTACAGTGTAAGAGGGCAGGACACAGGTTTTTCAGAAGTCTTATTTCCCACTGCACATAAGATTAGCCAATTTAAGAAAAAGATTATAGCATACAACTTCCAGAAAGGAAAAAAGTCTTATAGAAGAGAACTACTGGATTTGTAAAATAAAGTGGATTCTAGAGCGAATTAGAAGTCTAATTAAAAAACTCCAAAAATGAAAGATCTCTCAGGTGTATATTCAATATTTCAAATTACAGAAACTGGACATCAGGCAGGTATATTTCCCAGGATAATTTCTCTGGGGTGTTGTGCTTTCCTTCTCTTCCCCATTACAGCACAGAGGATGACAAACCATTTTAAGTATCTTATTTAGACATCAACCAATATTCCCTACACACTTTTCTATTCTTTTTGTTTACTATTCTCTGCATATAGACAGGTATAATGAAATTTGGTTACCATGACTGCCATTGTCCTATTGACAAACTTTGTTTCCTAGCTTTCCTCTGTTTTATGGTTTCCAATGACACAAAGCCTCAGAGAATTCGTATTTCATGTTCCACATGCTGTGAAAAGTGAGAGCAAAAGGACCATGGGCTTTCACATTAATATAGTTTAGCTGGATCAGCTATGTTCTACCTTGAAACGCAAATAAAATGTTTCAGGGAAAAAAAACTAAACCATTTCTGAACCCTTGGGAAGCTGGATCAGCTGGATCACATAATTCAGCTGCACCCCAGTGATTTGCCCCAAGTTTAACAATGGAGGAAGCGGAGGACAGTCAGATACAAATACAGATGGTACAAGAGTCAGCAGTAATGGAATGGTTGCACAAAAGGGCATCTGAAATAGAGTAACAGAAGGACAGTTTTCTACCTGTGTTACTTTAATTATTCTACAGGATTAATATCATTATATGAATTTAGAAGTCAAAGGTAGTTAAGCTACACTGAAAAACAGAAGTTCTTAATGAAATAAAACGTTGAGAACTAACATCTTATGTGAGTTTCTTTCCTTTCCTTCTTTCCTTTCTTTCTTTCCTTTCCCTCAGAGTAAAAAGCACTGAATTAAATTTCAATTACGTAAATGAACTAAAATTTCTCTTTTTGGCATTGCTTCAAATTAACGAATCAACTATTAAATTGAAAATTAGAATCACAGAAAACTAATGAAAGTGTGGTGAAGCCTAAACGTTTCCTTACTCAGGAAACTAAAATCTTGCACAGGTTGGAGACCCAATTTGAAAATCATATACTAAAAAAGCACGAGAGCATAAAAGACATATCTGAGATTCTGAAGATGTGTGTTTGTTCTATGGTGGCATCAAGATGTGCGCACAACATATGAACAGTCCACCAGCATTTTAGGGTAATGACTTCTGGAGGCAAGGAGTAATGCAGAAACATTGCACCAGCTTTTAGTTCTAGACATGAATGGAACAAAGGTTCCCTTGCCAAGCTTCAGTAATTTACAGTTTTGACATTGCCTTCACAAGAGAGAGGTTTTTATCCATCTTTTCCCTCACCCCAGTATCCTAGAACTTTAGTGAATTAGCAATAAAGAGAATGGAAAAATTGAGAAAAACACATTTTCAATTTTTTTTTTTTCAGATTTTTCTGACTTTCCTCTTAACAGTTGGAAAGTGTATGTTTAAGGGTATCGTGAGGCCAGATGAGGAATACACTAACTATGAAGAAGAGCCACAATCCTAAATACTTCAACTTCACATGACTGGAAGTACATCCACAAAGCACATGCTCAGAGTCATGCGACAAAAGCCCTGGCATGTGAACAAAGTCCACCACACAACTGCAGAGAAGCAGGGAAAGGAAAAGCTGCAGGGTTCTAGGCAAACAGGCAGCAGGAAATGGCACTAGAGCATTGTCCATCACTATCTTACATACTTTCAATTTCTGAACCTCAAAACCTTAAAAAAATGAAGAAAAATATTAGCATCTGAGGCTGCTTTTTTTTTTTTTTTAATCTGGAATAGGCCACATAATAAGGTTTTAATGAAGATTTTACCGTCACCAACATCATAGCTGCCAGCAAGGAAAGTCAGGAAAGCTGCGCTTCCTGGCCTATGATTGAAGCTTCCTGGAGACACTCCTGGAGCTTGCACAGAAAGGCCAGCCAACAGGTTGGGAACACCCACTGCACTTCACTTGTCTCTGGCACAAGAATGAAACACGCATATTTTTGCACTGCGAGTTCTCTTGGCTTCCTGTCTGCTCCTGCTCCAGTGGCGATCACCACTCACTGAACCTCTGCTCCACAAGTTCTGCTTCTTCCTCGCCTGCCTTCCTGCACCAGTTGTCATCCATCCCCGTACCCTCCTGCTGCTGCTTACAGTACAGCCCTTACTTCCCTCTGGTTTTAAATACTGCTCCTCTTTTCCTCTGAGTTGTATTCTTCAAATAGGCATCACCACCATCATGTTTTACCTATCCTTATCACCCCTACACATGCTACCCAACTGCCTGCCTTCCTTCTTCCATCCACACTCACAGGACAGTATTTTTCTGGCTGTGAATTTTTTTGAGGTTGGCAGTTTATAAAACTACTTAAAAATGACCTTAGATTTGGGCTAGTTACTACAACTGGGCTACTATTTCTTTCCCTCTCCCCTTTCCTGACAGAGACGAAAGGACACAGATTCCCATCTGCACAGCACAATCCCATTCTGCAATGAAACATTTTTTCACTCGGTGGGCACATAAAACATCTGGGAATGTCCTTGAGTCCCAGCAGCAAGCAGCAGGCCAGAGGAGGAGCCGCAGGGTCAGCAACAGAGACAGCAGCTCCTGCTCCCAGCGTGGGATGCTATTTACACTTCAGTTTCTCATGCTAAGAATACAATCACCTTTCTGTCACATGCTTCTCCAGGGTAAATTCCTGTGCAGACTTTCTTCCCCAGACTCCCTGGCAGAAACGTTTTACAAGTAATAGTGAAATGAGAGCTAAAAAGATCAGGTGATAATGGAAAGGAAGTGCACAACACTAAGGATAAGCCCAAACACGTCTGGTATCGTCAGTCATACTGAAAACACTTCAGAGTGTTCAAAAAAACTTGGGGGAAGGGAGACAGAAAGAATGAAACAGAAAATGTAACACTAACCAGTATCTTAAAATGTAAAATGTAATCTTACCTGTATTTAAACAAAATTCAACATACTTTGAGTATTTTTAGGGTTAAGCATCAATTTTTACTGGTACTTGAATTACATACTACATGAATGGTAATTAGAAGCAGAGAGTAAGGTAAAATAGAAAGACACTTAGCTCCTGAAAAAGAAATCAATAACAAAGCCTGCAAAACACTATATGGAGAGTTTTTGCAATATGTTTCACAAGTTGCATCTCTTTCTGGGGAAACAACCTGCGCAAGGGATTTTTATATACATTTCCTAAGGTATTTTTTCCTACCTATCCTAAAGGATTCTTTTCCACAGCGTTTATTTGGATTTTTAAAAAGTAAAACATGAAAACAGTAAATAAAAATATTAAAGGAGAACTACAAGCTCCTAAAATTAAATTGCTATGTAAAATTGAGGTCATAAGAAATTAGCAATAGTTTCAGGGTTTAACTGTTTCATTGGTTATTACTGTAATCCCAGCAATTAACCCCATATAAATGTGCTACAATCATTATCAATGAGCAAAGTCAAATAGGAATAGATCTGAGTATTTTGGCGGAGGAAAATTCAGGTAATTAAAACTACTGTCCATTCCTACACATTATTTAACACTACACCAAAGCACATGTATTTGAATTAAAAACTAGAAAGTAGCGAATTAAAGTTGGATGAATCCTTAAAATCAGAGCAAAGCAGAATAAACAACTCTGTAATACACAGAGTTGCAAACTAAACTATTAAAGCCATAAAAGTTATTACACAAAGAACACCAAAAGAATTTTGTCATCTTATACTGGAATTAAGTATTGGAGATCTCTTTAGAAGCCTTAGTTGAAACAAAGGAAGTGAAATATGAAATACATGTAATTAGCAAATCCATCAAGAATTTTCCTTGATAAGAAAATTGGGAAAAGAAATGGAAGTGTATGTGGCTGCACATACCATGAATACCAGAGTATTGGGGCAACAAGACAATAGTTTGTCAAAAATAGTTTGTTAAATTTATTGAGCATTACAAAGTACCTGGACCTCCTATCACATTAAATCTGAACATTAATTTATTTTTATTGTGAGCACAAAGAACACTTGAATGTCATAAGTCTGCTGGACTTATTATCAGGGCCTGATTAGAGCTCAAGAGGCGCCATGAAACCACATTCAGACTTAGTAAGGTTAAAATCTGTATCATGCTTTGATGGTTTTGATACAACGAGTATTTATAGATCTGTCATACATATTTGCATCAACGTATAAAGTGAATAGTAAACCGAAAGTATTGCTTACCTGAATTTCCCAACTTCTGTTACTTTCTTTAAGCAGCAAGTTATTCAGTGAAGATATCCCCAATTTTAGAGAGCAATGAAAAACTGAAAAAAAACAGAATTAAGTTACTGTCTGTTACAGCACCTAATCCAAACTATTCACAGTGAAGAGCAATGCAACTTCATGGTTCCAGGAAAAAAACAGCTACCAAGAGGGAGAGTCAGGAGTTCCTCCAAGGCTTCTCCTTTGCAAAGCACCTCAGGTGTCAGAATAACTGAGCTACTTGCACTTGTAAACGATTCCAAGGATTACGACTACCTCATTTACAGCACTGCTGAAAGAAACAATCACCGACTTGTGCACTCTCAGGTCCTCTTAACCCTTATATCCCAGTATGCTTATACCCTGTTTAAGTTACATAAATTATTTTTATATATATATATACACACATATGTTTGACGAAGTTAAATGATGTAAATAAGGAGCATGGGTACAAAAGCAGGACCTACTTAGTTTTGGTTGCTTCCTTTGCTAGGGTCAGACTTTTATATTAGCAGGGGTGTGTGGAAATTGTATGTGTATTCCAACATTATTTCTTCACGAGTATAGCTAGTGATCAGATTTCAATTTACTGGCAGTACCAGGTCATTCAGGAATAACTGTTTTGTACTAGTTCCCAATAATAATATGTAACATGGCAGTTAAATGTCACAAAGTGTGTGAGGTCTAGCAAACAAGTTTTTTACTGAATCGCATCCATGACATCTGCTAACGAGTTCAGCAGCTCTCAGTTGAAGGAAGGGTGTATTGCAAGTACTGCAAGCAATAAAAGAAACACACTCATAAGAGCTGGCTCTGAGTGAAAAGAAGAATCACTGCTACTTGAAGTAGCAGGAGAATATTTAGTGCTGTTAAACCTCTATTCAAAAAACTCAACCCAAACAAACCAGAAGACTCTGGTATTCGCAGAGCATCCACCTGCAATGACAGTCATGAAAGCACTGATATATCAGAAATGGGTTTCAAAACAGACAGAAGATGTGAGGAAAGGTGAAAATATCAAACAATCTAGTTCACACTTCACAATGTGCATATAAAAATAATGTAAATGTGGTAGTAAATGAAATTTTGTACATCTCCTGTGTTAGATAGGGCAATGTTTTGCAGATTTCACTAAAATAAGCAAAAAAACCCACCCCAAAAAAGAGAAAAAGAGCAAAACAACGCCCCAGACAAAGTTCCACCTCCCTTCTACACTTGAGAACCCCAATGTTTTAACCCTCACACTATATGATAAGGCATTTGCTTGCAGACTTCTACTGGGGGTTTTTTATCATATCTGAGCCCTTCCTTGCCCACACACTAGGGAACCAAGTCTTCTCTTTCTTCTCAGACTGACCTAAGACAGATTTTAAAGGTAAAATTAGGGGGTGTTTATCTTTACCCATGTCATTTTCAGAAAAGATCGTCAGAGAAATTATGAACTAGGAATGAAGAGCTAAGGCAGATGAGAGCAAGTAGAGCAAACTACTGTTGGAGAATTTTGCTCAGACATGGCTTGAAGGAAAAAAGGCCATGAAAATATACAGTTGATTGAAAAGTAAAAGGCAGCTGTAAACAGCAAAGTTCTCAGGCACATTCCTGTAAACTTGTTTTTTAAAAGGCTTGTTTTTTAATAGCAAGTAAATACCTTGTCCTTGGATAGTGATGGGAAAGCAGAGTGACAAACATGGAGGCCTTGAGAACAGTCAATAACAGGATGAGAAAAACAAGTTTTGGTCTCAATAAGAAAGCACAGGTATTGAAAACAAAAGGAGGGTTGGTGTGTAATCTGTAGCCAATAATGAGCTCGGGTTTTGCAATATGTATGAACTTAATTAACACAGTTACAAAAATGTGCATGTTGTATCAATAAATCGGAGTTCGATGCTGATCAATAAGGGTGGGTCGGCTCCCTTCACTTCCTCAAACTATAAATGCAGAAAAATGGTTGCTGAAAAGAAAAATATTGTGAAGGAAAAGGGGAAAGGGATAAACTTCTCTGCATGGCATTGCATGGCAAGAGCTGTGAAAGTCCAATATGAAGCAAATAAAATCCTTAAAGCCAGAAAGGCAATCATGTCTTTTTAGAGTAGATGTCAACTTTATAACAGAAGTGTTATTGAACTTTATAACAGAAGTGTCACTGAAATTTAGCTACCTTCTAGTTTAAGACACTGTGGACAATAGCTGGTACATAGATAGGAGAAACAGCTCATTTAGCTGCAGTAAACACAGACCTCCTCACTCAAATGCAGTGCAACTGAAAGCAAAGTGGACAACGATTTACTTTGGTAAATTTCACTCAGAGAAAACTGCATTATGAGAAATTAGCAAAGAGAATACATTAAAAGCACACATAACATCCTTAGCATGTCGAGACCAATTCTGTATAAACAATTTAAATATGTAATAACATTTATACAAATGAGGAAACAGTAGATATAAGAATATCTATATTTACAATCTCTAAGCCAAATGTTTTCCTCCACCCCTCTCCTTAAATAAAAAAAGACTTCAAGACTTTCCTAAACTTCATTATTGGAAATCTAGGGACATGCTGTAAGAGCAGCAGGACAGAATAATGAAAGCCATCCTTGTACAACAACATCTTTAAAAGTCAGTCAGAAATGAGATGATCTGAACCAGTGGCTGTAAGCCATCATGTCACAGCTATTTAGAATTCCAGATGTATGAATCCTGGAGACTAAATATACATCCTAATGGACAATTTAATTAATAAAATCATTGCTATAAATGGTAGAGTTTTGGCTTTAAAAGGCTATTAAATGACAGCAGAGTGGAAAAAGTAGTTGTTTGCAGGTACTGCCAAGGCACACTACTTATCCAGCAGTGCCAACTCTCTATTGACTCTGGAGGGCTTACTGCAGACTTGCCCACATCACATTCTTTAAGAAATCCAGTTACAACAAGCATTTCTCTAAGTGGTATCATTTGTGTGAGAATTTGAAGCTGAATGCTTCTCTGAAGCCTTCTTTTCAAGCCCGTATTTCTAAATAATAATTACATTACTGATTTAACCAGTTACAAAATTTCACTAATGTTGCATTAGTGATTAACAGGTCATATTAACAGATGATTTCATTGTCATCCTGATAATATCTCTCAGATGATTTCTTATTTTACTTTGTCCATCCCAGCTTACAAGTCACATTTGCCTTCTATGAGGAGTTCACTATAAAATCTGTGTATGAAAACAAAGATGACAAAAACCAAATCAGTAGGGTTGAAAAAATGGGATATGGGTGCCCTTAGAAAAGTGAAATGTATCTATTAGTACAGTGCTTCTACTGAAGAGACATTATTTCAGAGAACCTCAATGCCAAGGAAGTATATTTTAGCGGAACAGCTATAAAAGCATCATAAGCATCAAAAGAATCAAGAAAATTAATACTGCTATTCCTAAGTATCAAATTCAGAGAGTAAAATCATTACTGTAGCTCCACATAACACCTTTTAAGTTGTTTTCTAATTATACAAAAGAGGTTGGAATTTGATACAGAACTTGAAAACACAACACATGTGCACTGTAAACTTTAAAGATGTATTCATACCATAAAGAAAGAGATTTTCTAAGCTAAAGAACCTGTGAATTTACAACACATGAACAGCTAGTCTGCAGACATTCAGTCCTGTCTGCTAGAAGAAAAAAAAGTGAACTTCAGCAGTTTAACTGTTTTATCCATTAAAAAACAAAAATCTAAAGTTTGCATTGGGTTTCACTGTCTTCATTTGGAAACTTTTTCATCATTTTGAAAGTTATTAAAAACAAAAATAGAAAAAATACCAATTGTTTATTTTGTACCTGAGTAATTTTATCTCCATAGACATATACCATATATATAAACACAGCTTTAAAATCTTCATTCTATTGTAGTCAAAGGCAAAGTCACATACACACAGGAAATTACAGACAGCCCATAGAGCATATTTTATTATTTCACTATGAAGCCTGTAATTGCAGAAACATAATGAATGGAGTCAGTGAAACATCAGTGAATTCAGACCTGTGCATATTTGGCACCAAAAGAGACATACAGTATATAACATTAAAGATAAGTTGAAAAAATTGAGAAGGTTCATTTCAGTTTCTCCCATTCCTATCAGAGGGATATAAATCTCAAAATCAGAGCTCCTTAGAGGACAAACTAGAGATGGAGTTTACACTTAAGGCATGTCTTTAGGAGAAAGGCACTCTGTTTCTCTAGGAGAAAGATACTTCTGTTCACCAACTTAACCCTACAAGAGGACTTGGGACAGTAGCCTACTTAAACTTACCTCAGAATGCCTTTTCCTCACCTCAGACATTGTTTTCAAGAGATCCTTAAAAGACAGCAACACCAAGACATTTCAATACTTTACAATGTTTGCATTTATCTTGGGTGGCCTCCAGAAAACCTCCCAAGTCAGAAAAAAAAAGGCAAATAATTCTCCCAGAAACTACTAGGGGTCAGACACCCAGAAGACTGGTGTCCACGTCCTGTTTATCTGTACTGGCATCAGGCTTTCCTATTTCTCCTCTTTCTAATGAAATTCCTTGGCTCAGAGACACACATGCTTGCTTTAGAAGATGAACACATCACACTGTATGAACACACTAGGGAGAAGACTGAAAGATACTCTGGGATAAGAAGCAGAAAGTGCAGAAATTCAGCTACATAAAGGGTGAAACCTTGTATTTCACTTCAATTAGGCACACTGAATTTTGAGTCTGGAGAAACTCAGTAGGTATTAAAAAGTTTGAGAGGCTAAACCTTTCTAAAGTGAAAGAAGTAGTATCCATGTACTAATATTTCTTTTTCAAGATTATTTTACTACCATAAAGGCTTTTATTTTTCTTCTAGACAGTGGGAGGAAGGTGCATTTAGTAGCATGCTTTTCAGAGCAGGTACTCTGTTTTCACACCTACCAATACAGACTTTGAAAACCTGACATAAGTAACTTCACTGATTCATCAGATAAAGCACGTAGTTTACTTGAATTTTTTCTTCAAAATCTAATATGAAAAATCTGTCTGCTTTAAATCACCCAGATGACAATCAAT